CATTTTTTTCTTTTGTCTTCCTCAGGAGTCATTTGAAGCGGTTGCTACTTTTTGCCAGGAATATGATATCATTTGCATATCTTAATTAATGCTTATTGATTCTCCTTTTTCTGAATCTTATCCACTTTTCCATGTGATATATTCTGTAGACAGACTGAACAGATTGGGAGAGAAAATAAACCCTTGCCTGACAACTCTGCCCATATTTTGTCCTAACAGAATTTGGTTCAGAGTACAGGTTATGTACAGGGATAATCAAAAGTTGAGGCACGCCCATTTCTTCTAGAATGATCCTTAGCTTAAAGGCCAGCAAGTTTAATTATTTCATTTCAGATGTGTGTTGCCTTTGTCCCAAAACCAGGATCTAAACTGGCTTACAATATGTTTGGGTTTTTGTGTGTGTAGAGAGTATCATTAAAATACAATTGCAAACAAATATTTATTTTATTTATTTATTTATTTTATTTATATCCCGCCTATCTGGTCGGTTAAGACAACTCTAAATAAAGGTACAATCAGCACACTTTAAATGCTTCTTAATAAAAACAAGCAAAGAAAACCAAAGAAAACCAGAGTATTAGCTATAAAACTGTGGTTTTGAAGGCTGTCAATTGCCAAGAAAAAGCAAAAGGTCCTTGCCTGCTGGTGGATGGACAGCAGCAAGGGCGACCAGGCAAAATTCTCTCGGCAAAGAGTGTCAGAGCCTGGAACGGGCTATAGAGAGGACCTTTTCGAAGTCCCCATTAAACTGTCCTGCAGCTCTTTAAATGGAGAACTGCTCTCCCTAAAAGGGGACGTATGGAAATCCTACTTGAACATGGGGAACAATCTGTGGTGGAGGTGTAGTACCTGTAAAAGGTAAAGGTAAAGGTTCCCCTTGACAATTTTTGTCCAGTTGTGTTCGTCTCTAGGGGGCGGTGCTCATCCCCGTTTCCAAGCCATACAGCCAGCGTTTTGTCCGAAGACAATCTTCCGTGGTCACATGGCCAGTGCGACTTAGACACGAAACGCTGTTACCTTCCCACTGAGGTGGTCCCTATTTATCTACTTGCATTGGCATGCTTTCGAACCGCTAGGTTGGCGGGAGCTGGGACAAGTGACAGGCGCTCACTCTGTCACGTGGATTCGATCTTACAGCTGAAGATCTACAGATCTTACAGCACAGAGACTTCTGCGGTTTAACCCGCAGCGCCACCACAGTACCTGTAGCCCTCCAGAAACTGTTGGACTATGACTCTCATTATACTTCAAAATGCAAGTTAGGACTGATAGAAGTTGCAGCCTAACAACAACTGGAGGACATGCTATTTACCCTACATTAGAATCTTGTAATGGAATCCTCTATACTGTACAGCCGATCAAACATAACTTCCCTTGGGTTCAGTGGAACTTATTGCCAATTCAGTGAGCACAGGACCTGTAGTGTTGTCATTGTGATTTCTCATAAGCTTGGTTTTAATAAGGTTTTCATGCATTTTTATCTTCCCCGTTTCTGATAGGCTAGAATGTTTTCCTGTATAAGACACTATGCTGTATGCAACCCTGGTTCATTTCAATGGGATCTGTGCAGGAAGACCTGTCAGTAGATTCTGTTCCATAGGCTAGACCTTTCTTTCTTCCTTTTTGTAGGTTTTTTAAATTAATATAACAAAATAAAACAAAAACATAAAGGGCAGGTAGAATCACAACTCAGATATACAGTGTAACCCACCACCATCAGTTCCCCGACTGTAACAGACATGCTCAATGATGCTTGCAAACCTTCTACCACCTTGACCTACTCCTATAATGGGTAGGCGTTCTGTCACTTTGTATCAAGACAACATTTGCCTACTAGGCCAATGTCTCTGGATGCATTCCTTCAGCTTTTCCTTCACATCTTTTGCACCCTGCCCACCACCCTTGTGCAGCAACCAGAAGAAGATGACGTTACTGTATTTGAATAAACGTAGATTGTTGTACATTAAAAAAAAAACTTCCCCTGAAAATAAGCCCTAATGCATTTTTGAAGCAAAAATTAATATAAGACTCTGTCTTACTTTCAGGGAAACATGGTATATATTCTCATCAGCATGTTTCATCTTAATTTACATCATGTGCCCCATCTCTTTCCAAAAATGTAATGATTCTTGTGTTATGTTATATTGGCTAGATCTTGCTATTTCCCGCTATGCCACTCCTAGTAAGACTTATAATTGTTGCCTCATGATAGGGTTACCCTGGGCAAAAAGTGATCATAACTTGCAAAGCAGTAGCTATGTTGGTCTGTTAGAGAGAAAAGGCTCTTTTTTTGAAGTTGTAAGTAATTTTCTTTAGCAGCAACAACTAAAAGCTAGATCCAGCTGGTGCTTAAAAGGTCCTTATCTTCAGTGCAACCTAACTTAACTCTTGGTACCTGTCCACAGAGCTATTTTACCTGTCAATGAATCATCCCCAAAAGATTGCATGCCCTAGCTCTGTGCCAGAAAGATACGGGCCAGCTCTTAAAGGGGAAGGATGAATCGTTTAAAGTAGAAACACAAGCAGACAAGATCTTGTTTCCCATGCCGAGACGTGTTATGGCAGGAAGCTGCTTCTTATTAATAAGGTGCTGGTTATACTCCTGGGCTCATGATCAACCATGCGACTAGGCATACAGTCTGGAATGCAACCAGGACCTTGTTAAGGGTGGCAATTTGTATCAAGATTTGCGCAATTTTTCTTAAATAAAGGTAAATCAGCAATAGCATTCTGGCCATTATGACTGTAACATAACAGGGATTAATGCCACTCCTTTTGTGGAGTAACTGTAATTAAGGTTTTGTTTTTTTTAGAAATTGAATTAATTTTCTTCGATGCCGGGTGTTTTATGGCATCACTACTTCAATATATTAGGTACCGTAGGCCAATGTCTCATGGCATTCGAAGGTTTTAAAACATAACTGAAAAATACTTACTGCTGGCAACTCTGAATAACAAGAAAGCAAAGATTTCAGAAGTCTCTCTTTCACCTTGCAAAAATAAGAAATAAGGCAAAATAAAAACAGAAATGGAAATATTGTGGAAACTTTAGAACTAACAGATTGAATTTAATCCATTTAACTGATCTTAATTATGTGGCTTTGTGTTTTTTTAATGTTGTGTGTTCTGTGCCATCAAGTCGGAACCGACGTACAGCAATCCTAACAGAGCTTTCTGAGATACCAGTTCCACTCCCCCAACCAGTTTTCATGGCCAAGTGGGAATTTGAACCCTGTTTTTCAGAATCCTAGCCTGTCCCTCTATCCACAATACTATACTGGGAATTAAAATTATGTAGAACGATATTAAATAAATAGACCTACAGAGGCACAAGGCAGATAAGACAAACTAATGGTGTTTTTCTAATAGTATTGGTAGCCTTAGGTATGAAACAGGAAGCTGCCTTGTATTGAGTGAGACCATGGCTTCATAAGTCAACTCTGACTGGCAACATTGGCTGTTATGTGCTTCAGACACTATTCTTTCCTAGCCCTTCCTGGAGATTCACCTGTAATTCTGTGGTGGTATTAATCAGGCCCAAGCCTGTTTAGCTTCTGAAATTAGATGGAATTATGTATTTCCAGGGTAGTATGGAGGTATAGTAGCATTCTGTTGGACTTTTGTTTGAAACCTTGCATACTGCCTGTGGTCTGAGTGATTGGGAGAGATTTTCCTGGTCTGGGGTGACTGTCAATCTATCCAGCACTAACCAATCATTCCCTTCCACCTCTGAATTCAAAGAGAGCCCCACCTGTCTGCTGAATGGTTCCTTTCTCTCTCTCTCTGTAGTCTGTTGGAAGTGGTCTATTTGTTTGTTTACTATTGATCTGGTCATGACTGTAAGTAATAAAATGTGTCAGAGTTAGTTATTGAAACTTTACATGACAGTTAATGAGAAAGGAGTTGGACTATCTGGGAAACTTGAAACTATTCTCCTTTGTGGATCTCTGTACTTCTACTGCATAGCAAAAGGAATTTTACCAGTAATTCAGAATTCTGCAACACATTCAGCTGGTGGCCATCTTATAAGATGAGTGTCATGTGGATGTCTTAAGCACGGTTTGGTTTTGTTGTTGTGTGTTTTGTTTATTTGTTTGTTTTGGTCTGTATGGCCACAGAGGAAGGGAAGGCCAGAGAAAGTGTGTGCGCGCACACACATACATTTTTTTCCAAATACAATGTTGTCTATAAAACCTTAAAATGGTGATAGAAATAGGCCTCTTTTTTCAGCTTTCTCAATCCCAATGCCATCTCTTGAGTAGTTTTGCTATAATGATGATACTTTGATACCTGATGTTTAGACAATAAAAAGAGAGTGTGTTTAATGATGTTACACCCACCCAAGAGTGGATCTTCCTGCCCTTGCAACTCACAGTGATACTTTTTGGCAGGCCTTGGAAAAATTATTAAGGATTACAATTTCCAGAGATTCTCCAGTCTGGGCGTAGCTGCTCAGGAATTCTGATCTAATAAAAGAACTTTTCCAAACTGCTTTTTGAAGAATTGGGAAGCTGAGCTTCTTTTCCCATGACCTTTGGATCACAGAATTAAGTCTGGAATCCAGGGGGGAACCAGCACAGCATTGGGTGGCACATCTTCTGATTCTCCAGGGCAGGGGCATTTTTGTTACCCACCCGTTATTAAAATAGGATGTGCTGTAAACTTAAACAAATATAGAGTACAGCAAAATTAAGGCAGGGCCAGCCCTATCATTGAGTAGACTGAGCTAGCTGCCCCATTTAGACTCGATGGAGTGTGACTGGGTGGGTGCAGGACAATACAGTACATCCAACCCGGGTCAAATCCCAAAGCCCATTTAGATTGTAATGATTTCAGATGTAGTGAAAAGGCCTCATTCTCAGTTATAGTTCATGCAGTTCAGCAAACTAACCGAGGGTTGGTGGCCATGTTGGCTAAGCGATGTAAGGCTTTTGGTTCCATAAAGTTTTGCTCTGCTGTGCCCCAGCCCTCTACCTAATTCTCTCTTTGTCTGATTCCAGGCCTTAACCACCACCTGCGCCATGGACCCAGATGGCCTCCTGCTCCTCTCCTTCTGGACACTGTGGGCTTTGTGCTTTGGCCCAGGGTGGGTATGTTGTCCTGCCCCCACCCAGCCACACTCCATCAAGATCGAGGGGGACATCACTCTAGGAGGGCTGTTCCCTGTCCATGCTCGTGGCCCTGCCGGAGTGCCCTGTGGGGAAGTGAAGAAGGAGAAGGGGATCCACCGGATGGAGGCCATGCTGTACGCTCTGGATCAGATCAACAGTGATCCGTACTTGCTCCCAAACATGACTCTTGGGGCCCGCATCCTGGACACCTGCTCGCGCGACACTTATGCCTTGGAGCAGTCGCTCACATTTGTCCAGGCGCTGATCCAAAAGGACACATCTGATGTGCGCTGCTCCAACGGAGAGCCCCCCATCATCGCCAAGCCCGAGAGGGTCGTGGCTGTCATTGGGGCCTCGGCCAGCTCTGTCTCCATCATGGTGGCCAATGTGCTTCGCCTCTTTGCTGTAAGTAGCAAGATAGACCTTTAAAACAGCACTTCCCAGGGAAGGAGGATAAATATTTTAGAAATGATCCCAAGACAGAGATATCTTGAAGGTCTCAGGCTCCTCCATTCGATTCAACTTTTTAATTTTAATTTTAATTTTTAATTTTAGTTTTTAATTCTAGGCCAGCTCTGGATTATCTGTTGGTTAGGACACATAATATGACTATGTGGTGGTGGGGATTAAGTAGCAGATTAAAAGCACAGAATACATCATTTTGTGAAAAAATAAAATATAGAAACTGAAAATTGGGTGTATGCTTGACCACCGCACAGGACTGTTGTGAGGATAATGTGGGGACAGGTAAAGGTAAAGGTTCCCCTTGACAATTTTTGTCCATTCGTGTTCGACTCTAGGGGGCGGTGCTCATCCCCGTTTCCAAGCCACAGAGCCAGCGTTTTGTCCGAAGACAATCTTCCGTGGTCACATGGCCAGTGCGACTTAGACACGGGCGCTCACTCCATCGCGTGGATTCGATGTTGGTTAGGACACATAATATGACTATGTGGTGGTGGGGATTAAGTAGCAGATTAAAAGCACATTTTGTGAAAAAATTAAATATGAAACTGAAAATTGGGTGTATGCTTGACCACCGCACAGGACTGTTGTAAGGATAATGTGGGGATAAGAAGAGTCAAATATGTCAGCTTGGGCTCACTGGAGGAGGGACAGAAGGGATACAGATGTGACAAGATCCATAGGGTCCCTTCCAGTTCTAAGATGATGATGATGATTGATAGAATCCAGAATCAAGGTTTTACTCAATGAAATTAATCAGCTTTAGTAGGACTGGTGATTCTCCTGAAATAGGATGGAAGAGGGGAGACTGTCAGGTGAAACATAAGAACACCACCTTTTTTCACCAGTGAAGCTCCTAGGCCTTTAGCCACTGGAGCAGAAAATCAACGACCAAATGCATCGTGACAACAGATGTGTTCAATGTGGCAAGTCTGGACTTGCTGAACTTCACCCTGTGAAACAGTAGTTAATGGCACAAGCAAGAGCAGAAAAAAAGGAAGCCATTCTGACGATGCACTTGATTTGCTTGGTGCAGAGCACCAAGTTGTATGCTTCTTTGTATGCTTCTTGACCGTCAAATAGCTGTTAACATTTCTGGAAGCCATTCTGACGGTGCACTTGATTTGCTTGGTGCAGAGCTCAGAGTTGTATGCTCCTTGACCGTCAAATAGCTGTTAACATTTCTCTACCATGCAAGTAATGCCTTGTGTTGTCCGTTACCTGGCTTGTGCTTAGTAAGGGCCAGAAAAATAGAGGACATGTCCTTGTTCCCTCTAGTGGCTAATTCTGATATTGTACCTGTAATCTGCTGCCAGTGGTGCCACCTCTATGAATTAACAATCATGGGAAGGTAATTTGTGTCTAGGAATTATTTATAAAACCACAAAAAAATGACAAAGAATATTTTTCCTTGCCATTTTGGCCTGACTGAAAAAGGATACGAAATCTGAAAAATTATTTCCATATACCTTTAAAATATGAATTTAAATACCCTTAAAAATAACTTGAAAGTAACCAACTGTTGTTCATTATACCTAAGTAGCAAGTGTTGTTCATTATAACTGTAAAGCAGCATTAGGGCTGCTAGTTTTAGTTATTCATTCCCCAAAAATAACTAGATGCACATCACTATGTTACTCAAAACTAGTTACAGTGGTGCCTCGCTTAACGAGCGCACCGTACAACAACGAAATCGCGTAGCGATCCCTTTTTTGGGATCGCTAATGCGATTCCTCAACGTTTTTTAGATAGGGCAAAATTTGCTTTGCGAAGATCGGTAAGCATTTCGCTTACCGATCTTCGCAAAACGAAGCCCGACGATCAGCTGTTCAGCGGCCAAAATGGCTGCCAGAAGCCCGGAAAGGGCCCAAAATGGCTGCGCGCAGCGTTTTCGCGCCCTCGTTAAGCGAGGGGAGGGCACGAAAATGGCTGCTGGCCATTAAGAAGCATCGCTGAACAGTGAGTATTCGGCCCATTTGGAACGCATTAAACCATGTTTAATGCGTTCCAATGGAATTCCCTGCCCCGTTCAACGATGCTTCAGCGTTAATCCGGAACGGATTAACCTCGCTGTGCGAGGCACCACTTGTATTTCCAAGACCTGGTCCAGAATGACCAATCTGTCATCCAGGAAGCATAAAAACTTTGGATACCATTATCTTTGGAAGAGTAACAGATTGCATGCAAAGTGTACACCAGAAAAAAATAGGAGGGTTTAGTTCTTGGCTTTGTGCTTTTTGATTTCTTTCTCATTTTTATTAAAAATATAATCTTTCAGTAAAACATCACATCAAAATCCAACACACGTAAGCTAAAACAATAGTTTCTTAGGCATGAGAAATGTATAAGAACCCCATATCTTAATGACTCACAACAGCACGATTATCAAATTACATTTTATTAAAACTCAGTTTGAGTACACTATTCAGCTGACAACAGGGTTGGTGAACTTCAGCATGGTGAGAAAGCTTTCCCCACAATATTAGAGGATATTTATACTCTCTTCTACAATATTACTGCATTGTTCATAATTATCTACTGTCCCAAATACTTGGGCCTATGATACTGACACCTCAAAAATTCTTATGAGATTATAATGTACAATAGAAGCATATATTTTTCAGGCTAGATAAGATTAATCCTGAATCATATATTTAAACAACTCAAAATGTATTACTTAAATCTACTGTACTTAAAATTTCCTCAATCCCTATATTTCAGGTCTTTAGCTTTGCCTTATGCTGCATTTATGGCCCATTCAGTAATTATTGCAAACTTCAAGTACACTTCTGGTTTTAAGTAATGAAACAATAAAGTTTTACCATGTAATGTTCTGAGATTAAACTCTGTCAGCAGCCATTAGGTTTTGCTATTTTCATCTCCCAAAAAAGATTTGACATTGAATGATGAGTTTTATTTCAGCACTCCCTCTTTAGACACTGACCTAGACTACCTTATCAACCAGTTTGGGGTGTTAATTTCTAACAGTGACTTCTAGTGACCCTAATAGGGCTTTTGAGGTAAGTGACACATTTAAGGAGTGGTTATACCACTTCCGCTGCCCTGCCCATGAAATTCCATGGCTGAGCAGGGATTTGAACCCATACCACTTCTGCTCCCCTGCCCATGAATTTCCATGGCTGAGCAGGGATTTGAACCCAGGACTCCTGAGTCTTGGTCCACTGCTCTGTCCACTACATCACACTAGGTATGCTTCTGTTTTTTAAAAAGTCACCATCCAGATGTTGTTGGGCTACAACTTCCAGCATTCTTCACCACTGCCTATGTTGACTAGCGGGGTTGATGGGACATCTGGTTCACCACCTCTTACTTTAATATAATCTATATTTTAAATTATTTGCACACCCCAAGCTCTTAACCATGCATCATCTAGATTTTTTTTGTTGTTGCTCTTTCCACTGTGTGATGAGACATCCAATGTTGCTTTCAAACGGACGAATTTGCTTTAATCAGAGTATTCCCAGTAGTGACAGCTGAGAGTCAGGGCCCCACCTCTGTTTTCTTCCTGCTAAACTTCAGTTCTGGAGAACTTGAAAACCTGAATCTTTATTTGCTGACCTTTTACTTGTCCTTATTACATGCATTGTCCTTCTGCAACTCCCCCAACCTGTTGCCTGCCCTCCAAACCTGTTGGCCGTTTTTGCTGGAGGTGATAAGAGATGCAAAGGGACTGAATGTACAGGGTTTTGAGTGCTGGACTGGGACCCAGGAGATATTTTCGGAACAACCTCTGAAGTCCTATGCTCTCAGGCTGACCTACGTCACAGGATTGTTAGATGCAAAGGGACTGAATGTACAGGGTTTTGAGTGCTGGATTGGGACCCAGGAGATATGCATTGAGATTCCCATTTAGTCTCACAATTTTCGGAACAACCTCTGAAGTCCTATGTTCTCAGGCTGACCTACGTCACAGGATTGTTGAGAAGGTAAAAGTGGAAAGGAGGAGTACTATGTTCACAGCCTTGAGTCACTGGAGGCAAAGTGTGATGTAACTAATAACTTGCAAATAAATAGTCTACCACATCTGGAAGAGCCCAGGTTGCAAGGAAATGGCCGGTTATGAATGTCGGGCAAAGAGGCTCACAACCAAAGACGACTTAATTACATAAAGGCAATATATGTGCATGGTTTAAAAAAAAAATAAAAATAGCCATCTTCACCTCCTCAGCAATTTCACAGTTGCATGTCTCAGGAAGGGAGAAGGGAATACACATGTGGAACTTTGCGCACCCACTGCCTGCAGTTGCTATTTACACATTTAATTTGACAAGTAATGCCAAGTTTTAAAAGAACAGCAGGGACACAAAGAAGGATGAGCAGAGATGTATGATGAAAAAATTTAAAAGTTTAAGAAACAATGAACTAGGAGGGACAATCCTCCTCCCCCCTGCAAAGAATATATCTGTTGAAATGTTAAGTGGGAAATGCCTATTTAACCATCTGTTTTAACCATCAGCATCCACCAGTTGCCATGCTTTTATACATAAACACATAAAATAGACCACGAACAGAACAGGGTGAGTAGAAATTGTCAAGAGGTAACCAGTCTGTGTTAAGGATGCTCGAGTTGCCCCCAATAGCAGGCAGGGAGGATATGAGCCCCGTGGCACAGTGGTTAAACTGTTGTACTGCAGCTAAAACTGTGCTTATGACCTGGGGTTCAATCCCAGGTAGCCGGCTCAAGATTGACTCAACCTTCTAGCCTTCTAAGGTCATAAAAGAAGATCTGGGGGTGGGGGAGGAACAACAATGTGTAGCCTGCATAATTAACTTATAAACCGTCTAGAGAGTGCTTGAAGTGTTATGGGGTGGTATATGAGCAACACATTTTGCTTTTGCTTTTTATATCGCCCACCCCTTGGGAAAATCAACATGCTTTCCCTGTTTTCTTGTTGCCTGTGAGTTCATTGAGATGTTTAGAA